ATTGCCAGCTGCACTGAAGGGCGAAAAGGGTGAACAGTAACGAGAGTTGCAGTTGAAAGTACGCTCAACGTTGTGAAAAATTTGCAATAATTACAAGTGCTTTTGAGTGAAATTTTAAATCTGGCTCTGTTATTTCCTGGAGCAATAAGTTATTATTTACCTGCAGTCGGTAAAGAGCCAGCGAGGGATCGTGATCAACGATGTGTGCGCTCTCCGATAACCGCTCCGCTACTGAAATCGTTTTTACTTGAGTAATCATACGCGGTAGTTGTTACATGACTGGCACTACGTATAAAAGCGGGAGAGAAGGATTCCGAAAAGCTCAAGAATACAACCTCTTCGAACATCTAGTCAAAACAATGCATGAGTCTGAGGAGCCTCGATTCACTTGTTTCACTCAAAATTAGTATCTCCCGGCTGATGAACGTGCCTCTCTTGCTAAAATTTAGTTCCTTTAAATACCGATTTTTCCATCCATTCATCATTACCGGTTTTGGCGTTCCCTACACTTGACTAGTGAGCTCTCACCGTCTTACCACTGCGTCCAGTCAGCTTTTTCTTCCTCAAACAAATTAATTCTCAGTGACAAGAGACTTACATATGCGGCACCGCGCTTGCAGCTCTTTCGTTGCCATTCCACCACTTAATCTATAACAGGAGTATTGTCATCACATTGACAATGGCTTCTTGTGCAGCTGAATAAATACGAGATCGGCAAGTGACCAGTTTGGTACATTGCATTTCTTCTCAGAAAACAATTTATCATCCAAAGGCGGTAGCATACAGAAAACTGTTCAACATGAATTACACATCGAGGGTATAAGAACAACAAAGCAACAACTTCCACACCCTATCGTTTTAAAAACACAGTAAGGGCTGTATGTTAATCTGCGAGTGTGTTGCCGTGCACTGCTGCACTAAGGCAGCCCAGAAATATCGACTTAATTTTCAGCCTACTTACCAGTGACACTGTAAGGACAATCAGTAGTAAGAGAATTGTAGGGCGCACGCAAGCAGCGAAGGGAAATGCGGCTGATCGAGCAGTTTTCTCCGAAAAAAGGAATACAAAACCGGACACCGGAAGTCAGTTCTGGTTGCAGCAGTCATAAACAGCTTACCAGCTGCATTGATGGCGAAGAGGTCCGCTAACAAGAACAGAAAACTTATTTAAGTACTGAATTAGGTATGCAATGAACGACTGACTATCCTGCAAAATTTGGTAAGCAATTAATAATTTCAAACAAATCTAGGACGGTGCAAGAAAAATGTCCAGTAAATAAAGACCGGCTTACTTTCACGCCAAAAAAAAGTCACAAATTTAAGAAAACATGAAATCAAGACTTCTGTGCATTTCTCTTGAGAAATACTTGGTCTACGTATTCCTGCTCCAGCTCCTCCTTACTCTTGATTCTTCCACGCTCGCCACTCAGTAGCTCATCTTTCACATTTGCCATATCTTCCCACTTTAAGCGATTTTCAAAGAAACACAACATCTCCCATCGATCTCGAAGTTTCTGTCGCTCTTCGCTGAGTTCTTTTAAACGCAACCTCAGATCAACTTGCTCAACCTGAAACGTAATAAAACTACGCAAACTAACAGAAGAAAAGAGTGACGAAGGAGTTGTGTAAATAGAATAAGTTTTCGAAAGCATGGTGAATACCATCTTCCTGGGAGTACCTGTGCTTGGACGAGATTTGCTCGTTCCTCCTTCCATGAGCGAAACTCGAGGCGCTGTTTTTCCATAAGTTTCTCTTCTTCGCTCGTTTGTACTTCTTTGAAATGCTCAATGATTCTGTCAGACAATTTAATTTTTACGTCTTTCTTCTCTTTTTTATCAATTGTTTCCTGGAAAATGCAAATAGAGTGAAAACGAACACAAACCGAAAACCCCCCAAAAAAAGTACTGTAATACGTGTGCACTTCAGGAACTCTCCTGGCTAAGTTAAATGTACTGAAAACAGAATACTCAGATGATGGTACTGCCTGCTGTAATATTTGAACAAATCTAAAAATAAAGAGCTAAGAACAAACAGTGAATCACCAGTGTGTTAAAACAATGCTGATCTTACAACAATTAGCATGAACGAATGGCATGCGCACGCGTTATTCGCATAGATCTGCACTGAGGGTATACATACGCTGGAGACCGAGGGCATACATACGCTAAATGGAGATTTTGAAACGTATATGTAAATTTGATCCTCAATTATCAGCGGTCATACACCGAAATCTAGTGAAGACGAGAGAATACTGAAGTCCTTAGCCATTACAGACAAACGAATAGAGTTTCTGAACTTTCAGCTTCCTTGCTAGTCCAAATGCGGAGTTAAAAACTGCATGGCCGATATACATTCACATAAACACACATACCCATGCACAAACACACGCACACACACACGCACACACACACACCCACCCATACACACACACAAACACACGAATACCCACACGAACACATGTATAAATGCGAATGAAAAACATAAAAATATTACTTTTATGTGCTCGATCTCTTCGCTAGGAGGCAGGCTATTCTCTTGTTGTCCGTCAGCATCTGTACTGCTTGTTAGTTGTTCCAGCCGGGAGTGGCACACCGCGAGCGCCGCTGACGAAACGTTTGCTGTTTGCAAGATACGCTTTGACGAATCATAATCGCCATAAAATATTGAGCCGATGAGGCGCATGCTGCTCAGTTCTTCGTCGTCAGTTAACGACAAATGATTGGCAAACCAGAGCAGACTTTTGCCGACCAGCTGGTTGGGATCGGTGAGATCGAAGTGCCTGTCGTTGTACTCGTTTTTCAAATATGGGAATTTGAAGACTTTCTAAAAACATTTATATCTTTGTAACTGGAATTATACACATATTTTCCTTACGAAAGTTCATTGTCGACGATTATGAATTTATGAATATTTGCTATGGTTTTGCTGTGGTCTGAAGAATCGCTTCATGAATGAAGGCTAGGGAGAGGATTTAGCATGATCGAAGTAGCGACAGTGAGGAAAGTATGTGGCAAAAGCTGACTGCCCTTAAGCATTTGCACAATATTACGCGAACTTTGAAGAACTGCCTGTGAAACAGAAGAATGCATCGAATGAATATACATGGATGCGTAAGCTCAGGACCGAAAAGAATGAAAAAGCTGCCAACTGCTACCAGAGAGCGCTGTCTGAATTACCAATAGAAGGCTTGCTATGCAGTGAGAACTGCTGCCGGTAAACGCACCTCGTCTTCGTCATCATCGTCGACATTTTTTGTGTCGCTTTCCGTGTCAGGCACTGTTTTCAGCTGTGGCAATTCCGTGAACACTCTTTGTTCAGCAGGCAGCTCAGTCCATTTCA